GGTAAATTTTCTTCGAGAACACAAGCACAAGGGCAATGTAAGTCTTTAAAAGATGATTTTCTCATTAATGTTTTCTCTTTTTTGTTAATCCATTAAAAGTTTCCTGCTTGGTACATATTAAATGCAAATTTAGTATTAACAAGGAATTTGCTTAGATTTGAATGATTTTGTGGAAATTCATTACGCAGATGATGATGCTTAATGATCGGATAGTTAGTGTATCCAGACTTCAATCTGCTTTAGTGAAGGCAGAGGATTATCTTTCTACACTCTCGCCAGATACACCATATGCTGACTTTGAATACAAGTGAGTTGCAATATCTATGTTCTTGTTCACCAACATTCATTATCTCTTCCAATAGTATATTACGTGACATAATTTCCATTTAAATGATATTGTTGTACGTGCAGATTTCAAGAATGGGGGTTTGAAAGAGGTTGGGGTGACAATGTTGGCAGGGTATCGGAGATGGTACATCTTCTCTTAGATATCCTCCAGGCACCTGAACCCTCTAATTTGGAGCGTTTTCTTGGGAGGTTACCAATGGTGTTCAATGTTGTTGTTGTTTCCCCGCATGGATACTTTGGTCAAGCAAATGTCTTAGGCTTACCTGACACAGGAGGGCAGGTAGTTTACTGCTTGTGTTTTAGACCTATTTAAAAATATAGATATTAACAGTGTTTTTTCCTTCACTGTAGTTATGATTATCTTAATACTAGTGGTCTTTTGTTCATTACATTGGGCATGGTGTGCTTACATGGTACATAATTTATGAATAATGTATAGATTGTTTACATACTGGATCAAGTGCGCGCCTTAGAGAACGAGATGCTTATGAAAATTAAAAAACAGGGATTGGCCTTTTCTCCCCGAATTCTAATTGTAAGTATAATCCAGTGATCTTTCCATAAAGTAGTTCAAGGTAACCGTTCCTTTTCTATCCTGTTTTTTGTTTTGTATCTAACTGTCATACTTTCTGAAGGTGACCCGTCTCATACCCGACTCAAAAGGAACAACATGCAATCAGCGTCTGGAAAGAATTACTGGAACACAACATACACACATTTTGCGAGTGCCTTTTAGAAGTGACAAAGGAATTCTTCGTAAATGGATATCAAGATTTGACGTTTGGCCATATCTTGAGACCTTTGCAGAGGTACAATGGTGTTACTTTAAAATTTTGGTACTTTGTAGGTTGTTTTTAATAACTTCAGATTTTCTAGGAGAGAGTCTTTTGGTTGCAATTTTCTTCAAGTGGAACTGTGGAAGGTATTGTACGATCTGAACAAGTAGAGATACATGTGCTTGTGCGCTTGTCAACAAGAAAGTAAATAAACTGACATCTAATGTCTATTGGAAACTCCTATTTAGAAGGGGTAGTTTATTCTCTACAAATTTGTTTTGTATCATGCCACTTGTCATGCACATCACAAACTCTCAACTGTACAAGGATCAACAAGTCCGGCACTTTACCCATGTCAAACAACACTAGAAACTATTATGTCTTTGGTGGATATTCATTATTGGTGGAATTTATGTCACGTAATTGCTTATCTCATGAATCAATAGCCAGCTCGTATTTTTATCTATCCAACTCTGAACTACTTGCTAACTATTGGACCATACCATAACTTTTTGTACCTTGAAGTTGTATATATTGTGTACTATTTTGATTGCTTCACTCTTTCTTTAATATACTAGGTCACATGTTCTTAGTGCTTGCTCTGCCTAGAAAACATTTTCCTTTGGGTAAACCTTGAGCACTTTAGCAGATAATGTGTCTAGTTGAACTGACTAACTCAATTACCTTTCCTCATCATATCTTTGATTCTTTTAGGATGCAGCACAAGAAATTTCTGCTGAGCTGCAGGGTCTTCCAGATCTCATCATTGGCAACTACAGCGATGGAAATCTAGTGGCATCTTTGCTATCTTATAAGCTAGGAATCACACAGGTTTGCAATGATCTTTTGGCTCTCTGTTTATGTATATTATTTCCTTTTGTATCTTTCAACTGGTATTACATGTGAGAGTTCTAATTGTCATATTACACCTGCAGTGCAACATTGCGCATGCATTGGAGAAGACAAAATATCCAGATTCTGATATATATTGGAGAAAATTTGAAGAAAAATACCACTTCTCGTGCCAATTTACAGCTGATATGATTGCCATGAATAATGCAGATTTTATTATCACTAGTACATATCAAGAGATTGCTGGAAGGTACGTTCTCTTTTTTCCATTGGAATTTGTTATATATCAGGCTGTATTTTATTATACTGGTTCCTGAAACTGTAGATATTGGCTACCAAAAAATAAACTGTAGATAACTAGATATTCTTTGCAAATTTGAAAATTTCTGGAAGGAGTTTTGGCTGCTAAATAGGAAAGTGTAAAGAAAAGGGTCAAAAGAGAATCAATGGAATACAGAGTTTTGTTCATTCACTCTGCTCCCATAACGGGAAAATGAGTTAGGAGCAGTGTAGTTGTATCCGAGCTTAATGTTATCACACAATCTTGTCTCATCCATATCTATTAAATTTACTATACATTTTGTAGTGCCTTTTATCCATTTAGAAATGATTATTTTATCTGTTGGTACTTCTAAAAGACTTGTTATCAAGTACCAATGATTTGATGTGTGGCTTCTTTGTTTCAGTAAAAAAACTGTTGGACAGTACGAGAGCCACACAGCTTTCACCCTACCAGGGCTTTACCGAGTGGTCCATGGCATTGATGTCTTTGATCCCAAGTTTAATATTGTTTCGCCAGGGGCAGATATGGAGATATACTTTCCCTATACAGAAAAGGAAAAAAGACTTACATCGCTGCATGATTCAATTGCAAGTATGCTATATGATCCAGAACAGAATAAAATACACATGTAAGTGCACATTTGTCTGCCATTTACCAGAGAATTTGTATTGTTTTCCTAGAAATTTTGGGAACTCATCAAGTCATCCTCGTGCTTTTGACACATATATACTTGTTTTTAAGCTTTTCAGCTAAAAATATGATTACAACTATGGCAGTGATCTGGCTCTATCTAGATTGATATGAGATATTGTCCATTCTCTTCATTCATCCAGCTTGGTTTGGTTGAGTTAAAATGTCATTTTATTGGGCAATATCCTACTATGTTATTAAGTAATA